AAATCGAAGGTATTGTACTGCATCTACCAGCTCCTTTTTGATGATTCCATTTGTAATTTCTGTAAATGTTTGATTTTATTTATATTTCATCCACAGCCAAGTACTCACTGGGTTTGTATGTTCATTGGCTGCCTAGTATTGTTCGCTGATGTTTTAGATCCTTTATCATCAATCCTTTTGCAAGTCGAGCTTTTTAGATAATTAGATAAACCATACATATGTAGGCAGGCATTCGTGGCTATTCCTTAGTTAATTAGTTTTCAATATGTAGTGTTTCCAATGATGGTGAAATATGTTGAGGAAAACATTGTTTCGTTGCTTCCTGTATAAAGTGCTTCCAAAAATATGCATCCATGGACCATAGTTAGCGGCATATTGTTTTTGTTACATTTTTCAAAATTTAATGCTTCCACCAGACACTAATAGTGCACCCTTTGCACTAATAGCCAGCTGCATAGCTTTGTGCTTCTACATTGTTCTCGTTTTGCTACGGTAGTTTAGAAAAATGCTTCTGTGCCTACGACTCATATTTTTGTGCTTCTACATTGTATACTCATTTTCTACGATCCTTTAGAAAAATGCTTCCATGCCATCCTGATATTTACTTGCAATTCGTTCAGTTAGTATGTGGCCGGCACAATACATGCATCTTTATTTGCTATTTTTCATGCTTCCTACATTCTTATCCACGATGGTGTGTTGTATCATCTTGTGATTGTGGCTGTCATTATCCACGATTTGGCACAGACAAGCTCACAATCCCCTTGTCCTCCTGGTCATCTTCGCCAGCTTTGGGCCCGGTACCTCCAGTCCACCACGCCGGAGGGCCGTCTCGGTTGGGAAACGAAGCCACCACATGTCGACCACTGTAGAGTCGTCTCCATCCCCCCTAAGGCACTGTCCTCGTATGATCTAGGTATTGAGTCCTCTCTCATGTTGATCCAATACTTGTTGATTTTTTTTCTTGTTTTATGTTCTGAGTATCAATTCATATCCTTGTGTGCACATCTTGAGCAATTCCTTTTTATTGGGTCCGATTTTGTTCTGTCCTTTGTGTACTGGATCACCAAATCATAAATGAAATATTTGTGAAATTTACATGAACGTGACAAATATGCTTCCTATTAAGATGACTTGTGTTGAGATATCGCTCTTTTCAAGCTTCCTACTAATGGACCTTCTGAAATAATACCACATATACTTCTTTAGTTTACAAAGTTAGCATCCATAGTTCAACCAATATTTCTGTGAATTTGGTATGTAGGTGACACATGCATCCCCATGTTGGTGGCAATCTTAGTTAATTCATGTATTCAATTTTCTATGCTTCAAATTAAGATGACTCAGATTGAGATAGCATATTTTCATGCTTCATAATGATGGGGCTTCCAAATTGTATTTCATATGCTCCTCTAGTTTACATAGAATGCTTCCATACTTGATGCTTCACACTGATGGGGCTTCCAAATTATACTTCATATGCTCCTCTTAGTTTTAGATAGAATGCTTCCATATTTCATCCTTTTTTACAAAAGTTGTTGCTGTCATTGTTATCACTATTTTAATATTCCTTGCCCCATATTATATTATGTATTATTATTTGGTATAGGTAGTTTGCTTCCATAGTCCCCATATCTATTTTTTGTTTGTGTTTCTATAGTTGTCATTGCCAACACCATTTCAATAGAAACACAACTCAGTGTATGTTCTGACAGATCAATTCATTGGTTTGTGTCAACCGTGCTTCCTAATTTTGAGTATTTTCCTATACTCTTGATTTTTTCCTTCATGTCAATTTTATATGATTCCATTGCCTATCATGTATGTTTTGATTGATGAAATCACGACTCTGTGTAAGCTATGGCTTCTACTTCTACGTTTCACATATGTTCCGATAGCAATGCTTTTTTTATCCCAGTTTTCCATGCTTCCCCTACCTATCATGTATGTTCTGGTAGATCAAATTGTTGCTTCGTGTAAGCCTTATTTCATTTTTCTATGCTTCCACTGCCAATTATTTTTGTTTCGATAGATTCATATATACCTTATCTCGTTTTCTCATGTGTGCTTCTACAGATGTTTTGTGCCACATGATGCCAATCATGCATCATTCGTTTCTGAAACGCCTTGGATTGACCTATCCCCACAATGTGAGCGGCGCCGATTTGAAGGCGCAAAGGAGGTGCTGGAGACATGGGCGGAGATAGTGATGAAGGTCCTCCCCGGGGATGTGCTTTCGGCGTAATTTGTGTGCTCCAGCTTCCGCACCATCAAACCGACCAGGATATCACGATATCGCGGTTACGTGCTGGCAACATTGTCCTTGCTGTTTTCTGCCATCGCGATGGCGTCAATTTTCATTTGGCAGTATTTCGCTGCTGCCCAAAACAATAACCTTGCTTCCCAGCCATCTTAGACATGGACCTTGTAACACTTTTTGTTGTAACTAAATAAATTTTTGTTGCTGTAACTGTATTAGGCTTTTATTGTATGGAAGAATATCCCCCTATCTTTGGTAGCAAACTTTCATTTGTTTGGAAACAATGTACAATTTATGTCTCAGCGAAAATAAATTTAATTGTTATCGATAGAAGCAAACTTAAGTTGCAATGGAAGAAAATTTTCTAGTCCATGGAAACAGAGTTGGCAGTAAATAAACAATTATAATGAACACAAATTTGTGTTAAAATCAAACATGAATTTATATTAGATTGAATAAATTTGCGATGCAAATATGCGATGCAATCAATAGGAAGCAAAAGACATCGGACAAAGTCTTGTTAGCAAGCGCACAAGTGACCCTAAAAAAAACAAGCGCACAAGTTGCATGTGTGGGCTTCACGTTCTGGATAAGCTCGCATCACACGAGTAGGGAGAGGTTAGCGGGATAGTCTGGCAAGCGAAGCGGATGCAGTTAAGTAAGAAAGCAATCAATTAATAAACCAAGTCAACAAATCTCCCGCGGGCCTAACTAATAGATCAGACGGCCACCATGCACCTCATCCGACGGTCATCGAGTAGTCTGGTAAAAGCAAAGTGTCTATAGTCTGATAGCTAGTGGTGCCCTCTATAGAGAGCCTATTATTTTGAGAATAAAGCATTGGATCTCACCGCATTAAAGGGAAGATTGGTGCAACTAATTTTTAAGATTCTTGAAACAATAGTTGAGATGAAGTGGCACCATGTGACAGAGGTCAGATGTGGCAGTCTCTGTCTACGAGAATAAAATGGAAGGGTCATATGAAAAGGCCCATCCTTGTCGTAATTTTATGCCTGATTACATGGTGAGACAGATGACGGTAAATAGTGAACATGCATACTTTTGTATAGTGAACATGCATACTTTCGTATGTGACGATTAAATTGCCCTAAGCTTAATTTGCGCACCATGCATAGGACGTAGCATTTTCGTGTTATCTAGAGCATGAGTGTATGATGGTGCAAGCTCGAACTCAAAGCATTGAAAGATCATGCACAAGGAAAACTTGGGCTCAAGCACTGCAAACTGTTGGCCAATGCAAATACGTGGTCCCCAACCAAATGGTAGGAATGCACAAGAATTATTGGATGCCTTCGATATCCCATCGGCGAACCTCTCCGGTTTGAACTCATGCACGTCGCTTCCCCATATGTCTGGGTCATGGTGCATTAACAACACAGGAAGCTCGATGAGCACACCAGCAGGGAATGTGATACCTCCAATCTCCATTTCCTTGTATGTTTTTCGGATGAAAGCGACAACTGGTGGGTATAATCAGAGCACCTCGTAAAGAATCATGGTCGCCTACATTGTAGACTAAATGACTTATTATGCTTCCTAATATATATTTCATAAGAACAATGGAATCAAGTAAATAAAACACTACTCACCGTTTTTAGTCGGCCAAAGTCTTCGTAGTCAATTTTATTCTTTCCAAATAGGCCAAGGACCTCCTCTCTTGCACGATCTTGCCACTCGGGATGCATACTTAGTATGACCATTGTCCATGTGAGTAATATTGATGTTGTTTCTGTTCCTGCAAAATAGAACAACTTGCATTCCTCCACAACCTCATCAATCGTCATTCCTGAGATGCATTGGCCATTCTCATCTGTGCCCCTCATGTTGGACTCAAGCATCAAACCGAGCAAGTCATTTTTGGTATTTTCTCCTTCTTGCATAGCTTGCATTCTTGTTCTGATTAGATTGAGCAGAATTGATTCAATTTCGTTATTAATTTCGCTCATCCTTCTATTGTTTTTGGTTGGCAAGGACTTGAAAAATGACACCCCAACAAATTACTACTAGCACGGACAAACTAACTATACTTTATTAATTAATCTGTCTATGCGCTACTAAATCTCATGATAACGCACAATATAATATAACGCGAATTGACAAAACATGGTGTCTGGTGTTAGTCTAAACTAGACAATGCCCCCACACGTTGCAGTGGAAATGTTTTGCAATGTATTTCAATAATATTTAGTTTTATGAGACATGAACATTTGAAGTAGTAATATATAAACTAAAATTAAAAATACATATGATTTATTGTGTCTTTTACTCTATAGTTGTAAACTATTTATTATATATAAATAGAATAAAAGAATGTAAATTATCATGCATGTTCCCATGTTGAGGTGGATCTTTTGATTTGAATGGTTGCTTGTTAAGGTGGGTCATTTTCATGTATGCTGCATGCTTAGGTGTCATGCTTGTATGTTGAAACAAATATGTTACTAGGGGCTAGCTATTTAAGTATTAAAGATCAACATGATCCCTATGATTGATGTTGGTTTATTAATCAGAACCGGCTATGCGCAAGTCGCCTGAAAATTCATTTCAGGTAAGCCGATTTGCTAGGCCATGTTTTTTGATAAATATTGGCAAGATAGTTTTGGGGTAGAAAGTTTGCATTTCGAAACTTGAGCTCGTGTACCATAACACAAAGAAAACAGATAGAGTATGCCGTAGACACAAATATTAGCCGGAAGGATGATTACGTAGTAAAGAGTACTCACAAGTAGCCGGGAATGATAATCTTCTTAACCCTGGCCAGGAGGCGTGCAGTTTGCTCGGACTGCAACTGGAAAATCCTAGCACCTTCAGCGTAGTTACTGCCAAACGCGGTGCGAGAAATGACATCTCCGGTGAGTCTTTGGAACTCCGGACAAACATCCACCTCATATGTACCATCAGAACCAAGAGATTGCGTCCATCTGCTCACAAGTTCTTGGCAGCAAGTAGAAAACGCTGGCATCATGAGCTGCAAATTAAGTACACATGATTCCGTTGAATTTATAATTTCGCCAGCATTTGATTGAAGTACTACACATGGAACAATAAAAAATTAGGAGCAGTGTACGTACCTTGATCTTCTCGGGATGGAATGCAGGGTTGAGGATCCTCCTGTGCTTAACCCATTGCTCGCCCTCGTACGTCGCCACGCCTCCGGCGAGCAGCCTGGACAGTGCCGGAAACTTGAGCTTCTCGAAGTGGCCGAACTTGTTGGACATCACCTCCTTGGTCTGCTCAGGGTCGCTGATGGTCACCTTGGGGTACGGACCAAACCAGGATATGCACGCCTTGCCGTGCTCCCGGATAATGTCGTGGAGCAGCGGCGCGACGAGAGGGGCTATGTTGTGGCAGCGCAGCGACATCGACCTCGAGCGCTCCTCCTTGCTCCGCCGCTCATAGTCAATGACGTCGCCGACGAGGAAGCGGTACGAGGTGCCGCGGAGACCCTGGGCGCGCAGTGCCCGCTCCAGCCGCCGTGGGTGCCACCACAGCCGGTCTATTAGCTTGGCAGCTTGCCACAGAAGCACAAAGCCCGGGCTGCCACATAGCAGGAAGCTCCATTGCACTAAAGCTGGACTAATCAACGCTCTAAGAACCATGTCTCTCTTGATTGGGGGAAGAATGGTTGGATGACTGATTCGATTGAATGAGTATGGTAGAGATGCATCACAATATATATGGAGACAGATCAAGGCTGCGGGGAACTCTGGTCCATGCCTTTCTCCTAAGGAACTTGGTAGAGAAGAAACTGAGATGGAGATCTGATTATTATTAGTTAAATTAAAGTGAGCGCGGTGACGCGACATGGGCACTCATGGCCTCATGGGCCAGTCAACGGTCTGCCAAGACAAGGACAATACCACTGGATGTATAATAAGGGCATCTCTAGCAAATCTACAATTGAGGAGCAAAGGTGTGTTGATAGAGTTAAGCACTAGCTAGCGGATCACCGAAACATATCTCCCGTAGTGTGTTAGGGTCACCCTAATATAACTCTCGATCTATTGCAAAACTCACGAATTCGAGTCTTAAGTGTGATTATAGTAGCTGATACAAGAATTGGTGAGAGGGGATCGGGGGAGAAGGAAGAACAGTGCCGCTGCCATTGTGATCCACTGGATGCCCTAGTCTCCGAGTGACGCGCCTTTAAGTAGCCGGTTGGGAGGTTGGCTCACAGAGTCCACTGCGGCCCAGTGTTGTTTGGGTTGGGCTTCGGGGTCCTTGTGGGTCGAGAGGCAGCGATGGGGTCGCTGCCGCCTGGGTCCTTGCTGTCAGTGACTGGTGCAGGGTTAGCCAGAGTAGGGACGCTGACATCCCCTCCTCCTTGCGACGAGGCTTGCCCCCAAGCCTCTTCTGCAGGAAAACGGGCTTGTAGAGCCACTCGATCCTCCCATGTGTCTTCCAGGGCTGATGCATCCGACCAACGGACTCGAACTTGTTCAATCATGGCACCATTCTTCTTGCGCCAACATCGCTGAAGGATTGTGACTGGAACCACAGGGGCATCAGTAGGGTGAGGAAGTTCAGTGTGAGACAGCGTACCCGGCTGCAGGCAGTGGCGTAGTTGGGAGACGTGGAAAACAGGATGCACTTGAGCCTGTGGTGGTAACTCCAGTTTGTAGGCTGATTCATTGATCTTGGCGATGATCTGATACGGTCCATAATACTTGAACGCCAGCTTGTGGTTCGCGCGCCGGGCAACTGAAGTTTGAATGTAAGGTTGAATTTTGAGGTAGACTGAGTCACCCACAGAGAAGCTACGTGGAGATCTTCGTTTGTCTGCTTGCGCTTTCATGTGCTGCTGCGCTCTGTTCAAATGCTGTTGCAAAAGATCTTGGATAACGGCATGCTCGTCCAGCCAAGAATGCAGTGCTGGCACGGTGCACTCACTGGTCGGGGTGATCCTCAAATGCCTTGGTTCATGCCCGAACATAGCTTTGAATGGCGACATCCCGATGCTGGAGTGGTGTGAAGTATTGTACCAAAACTGCGCCAGTGGTATCCAGTGGCTCCATCTGGTTGGGTAGGCGTGCACGAAACAACGGAGATAAGTTTCGACACATTGATTGACTTGCTCAGTTTGCCCATCCGTTTGCGGATGATTTGCCGTGCTCAATCTCAACTCGGTGCCCGCATACTTGAAAAGTTCCTGACAGAAGTGGCTTGTGAAGACAGGGTCACGATCTAACACGATCGAGGCTAGGAAGCCGTGGATCCTGTAAACATTGTTCATGTAGAGGAGTGCGACTTTGGCAGCAGTGTAGGGATGTGCCAGAGGAAGAAAACGAGCAAACTTGGTGCGTCTGTTGACAATGACCCAAATGCAGTTGTGTTTACCGGATTGTGGGAGTCCGTCGATGAAGTCCATCATGATCATCTCCCAAGGTTGTTGCGGAATCGGAAGGGGTTGGAGTAAACCTGGAGACGCTGCTCTGTCCGGTTTTGCTTGCTGACAGACTGGGCAACAGCGCACGTAATGCAGAACATGTGTCTTCATTTTAGGCCACGTAAACAGACGACGAATGCGCCGAAACGTGGCCGGAAAGCCGGAGTGCCCACCCAGCGGACTATCATGAAATGTTGCCATGATCTTCTATTGAAGCGTTGTTGAGCCCCTGAGCCAAATGTGCCCACGGAAGTGGATAACGCCATTCTGCAAAGTGAAACGGCCTTTGGAGTCTTCTTTGATAGCCAGTTGTTCCAGCAGCTTCTGCGCCTGGGGGTTACAATTGTATCTTGCCACGACATCTTCCAGCCAGGTTGGTTGGCAAGAAATGACGGCCGAGAGGATCTCTGAAGAGTCCGTGCGCGATAACGCGTCTGCTGCTGTGTTATCAGTCCCCTTCTTGTACCTGATGGTGTAATGCAGCCCCAAGAGTTTGATGAAAGCGCGCTGTTGCCATGGGGTGGACAAGTGTTGTTCCTCAAGATGTATCAGACTCTTCTGGTCAGTGTGGATGACGAACTCGCTGTGTTGCAGATATGGCCGCCACTGGTCCACGGCAACCACGATGGCGAGGTACTCCTTTTCGTAAGTGGAAAGGCCTTGGTACCGTGGACTAAGACTTTTGCTCATGAAAGCAATTGGGTGCCCCTCCTGTTGCAAAACTGCTCATATCCCTTTGTCGCATGCATCCGTTTCAATTGTGAAAGTCTTGGTGAAGTACGGCAATGCCAACACATGAGCTGTGATAAGTTGTTGCTTGAGTAGCTGGAAAGCTTGAGAAGTGTTATCGGTCCAGACAAATGGGGTCCCTTTCTTGAGCAGATTGAACAAGGGTCTCGCGATGATGCCGAATCCTCGAATGAAGCGGCGATAATAGCCCGCGAGTCCGAGGAATTGCCGGACCTGCTTGGCGTCTTGAGGAATCGCCCACTCTTGCACCACACGGATTTTGCTGGGCTCCGTGGCCACACCCTGCGCACTGATAACGTGGCCCAAGTAAGACAGTTGCTGCTGACCAAATTCACACTTAGATCTCTTGACCTTCCATTGATCTTTGCGCAGCAGCTCTAGAACCTGACGGATGTGAGAAACATGTTCTTCCCATGTACGACTGAACACCAGTATATCATCGAAGAACAAAAGCACGCAGTGCCTGAGGAGGGGCTGCAGGGTGTCAGTTAGCACACTAATGAAGGTTGCTGGCCCGCCTACTAATCTGAAAGACAACACTTTGAACTCATAATGGCCTGAGTGCGTCTGAAAGCGGTCTTGAATTCTTCTCCTTCCGCTAGCCGAATTTGGTGATAGCCTGCCCGCAGATCAAGCTTGGAGAACCATTTAGCCCCGTGTAATTCATCAAGCAGCTCCTCGATCACGGGCACTGGAAATTTGCTGACGCGTGTCATGGCATTGAGATGGCGGTAGTCGATGCACAACCGCCATGCCCCGTACTTCTTCTTGACCAGGATAACTAGCGAAGAAAAGCTGCTGTGACTGTGTTGGATGACCCCTGGCCTGAGCAATTCAGCCACCTGTCGCTCAATCTCCGTCTTGTGTTCTAGTTTGTGCCGATATGGTCGGATATTCACCGGTTGCGCGCCTGGCATCAGTGGTATGGTGTGGTCGTAAGCACGACGAGGTGGCAGACCGGTGGGTTCCTGGAACACGTCGTTGAACTCAGCTAGCAGTTACTGCAGTTCGGGCGACTCCTCTGAAGCAGACGATCCCTCCTTGATCGGACAGAGTAAGATAATATGTAGCAGAGAGCCTTGGCGGTGCAGGTTCTAGAGCTGGACTCGATTGATCACATGACATGTGGTTGAGTTGGCTTCGTGACCGAACAAATGAGCTCGTCCCATGGCTGTGGGGAATTGGATGTACTTGGCGCGCCAGTCGACGGTCATGGGGCTGTGTTGTTTGAGCCAGTCCATGCCGAGAATGGCATCGTACGTGCCCAACGGCAGGATCTTCATGTTGGTAGTGAACTCATGGCCCTGGGAGGACCACTGGCAAGAAGGGACAGCGGCGGTGCAGGTGAGTTCACCCCCATCAGCGACATGGACGCGGCAAGGTTGCTTGAGTCGCACGACCCCCGTTAAGTGGTGGGCGAGCTTCTGATCGATAAAAGATGTGGAACTGCTGCTGCCAACGAGTAGCAACACCTCGCGCCCCTGCATCATGGCGAGAAGCTGGAAAGCCTTGGATGAAACGCTGTCGTCCAGCGCCGAACGAGAGATGGCCATGGTGGTGTCGCAGGTTGGGGAAGTGGCCATGTTCTCATTGTCCACGCCGAAGAGCTCGAGCATCTCTTCTACCACATGGAGTTGGACCATGGTGGGGCAGACGTGGTCTTGTCCCCAGCGCTCTCCGCACTTGAAGCAGAGGCCTCGGGCTCGGCGGTAGTCGTGGAGCGCCTTCACCTTGGACGTGTCCGCACGCGCCGCCTCCGTGCCACGGCGATCCGTGGCGCCGTTCAGCGGAATCGCGCGTGGTGGTGGTGGGGGCAGTGGCAGCGCCATGCCCGGTCTGTGGTGCGCCTCGGGCGGTCGCGGTAGTGAGCTAAAGGCCCCGTCCGTCACTTCATCTTGTAAGAGCGCCAACGCGCAGGCCGTATCCAAGTCCGGTGGTCGCTGCACCAAGACCACCGCACAGATATCCTTCCGCAGCCCCTCCACAAAACGAGTGAGAAAATAGAATGGGTGAATCGTGTCAGAATGCGAACTGAGATGATTAATGATAGACTCAGATTGCTCAATATAATCCGCGACCGTG